GTCTATATCAACTGAACAAGAAGCAATGCTATTGTCTCCGTTCAGAAGAATGCAAGCAGATTCCTTGATTTTTATCTTCTGGTTGTTATCTTCTTTTCCAATGATTTCAATATTATTCCACTCTGCCATATGTTGTCCGTCTTCAGTAAGGATATGTTCAGCTAGTTTCGATTTATCGATGTTTCTTTTCTTTATATTGTACTTATGTTCCTTCGTCCTTACTGAAAGAGGTCTCTTGGTTTCACCTGTGTAAAACTTTCCACAAACACAAGGTATACTGTAAATACAATTTTTTGACGATTGTTCTTCATTTTTCGGCTTTGTTTGAGTTAGAATTGATCGCATTGTATTTTCAGTTTGAACACAGTTTTCACTTGAAATTTATCACCAACACGTGTTGGTGATAAATGATTGATGATGATTTTAAACGCCTATATGAATGTGACGTGACAGCAATGTCATGTCAGGGACAAATACGTCAGTTTGCAACAAGGTACCCTAGCCAGAATAACAACGAAAATACAGGGGGATAAATTTCTGAGTTCACCTGGTATCGTAGGTTATCGTGACTAGAAAAAAACCGAGTTATGGCAAGTAAAACGCCCTGTACGTGATCGTGATAAGTGGCAGGTGTCGTATTACTCTATTTATCGACCAGAAGAAAACGTTCGTACTCATGTGGGTAACTTTCAGCTTATCGAATCATGGTGGTACACATTAAACGCAGTAGTGTGGGAGTTTTGAGGAAAAATTACGTCATCAGGTATAAACAATCGGTTTTAGTGTCGTGTTTCTTTGTTCTTCAAGAAAGGTGCTACAGGGACTCTACTGTGTATAATCTTCTTTCCCCCTGCATTTTAAGTTCAGTGACTACATTAGTTGATATTAGCCCTGAAGCAATTTTCGATTCCTATAGTGTGCAATTTTTGCTGTTATTCTTCACAGGCTGACTGACATGAACCTATACCCAAATCATAGCACAGATTTTCATGAACAGAAGAGGAAATGAAAAAAATGCTTGAATTATAATGATTCAAATCATTTCGATCTTTGAACTAGCGCAATTTAAAAAATCTTGTTATCGATTAATCTAGTCCGAACAAATCAGAACTGAAAACGAAAGAAAAATTGAAAGAGGAATGAAGAATCTTCTGAGTGAGAAACAAACATTCAAAAACTTTCCATTATCTATAGTAATCACAATCAACAAATGAATTAACGAAGACAGAAGCATCCATTTTTGGTGTTCCAACAGAAAGAGTATTAAAATATCTATATATTTATGAAAATTCGCAGAATATAATTCCACTTTTCAGGGCACAATGCATACCATGCTTTTTTATATTAAAATTGTGAAACATCATCAGCGATTTTCTTCAAGAAAATTCAGCTCCACCACTGGATTCAGTATTCGTCAATCAAGTTGCGAAGTTTCAATGAAAAATTTTAATTGACAACAAAGTTATAAGGACCTTAATTTTCGTAACATACCATTTTCCATTTATATATCAGAAAAACTCTGAGAAGCAGCTACATTGTCAACACAAATGTTTGAAAATATGGAGGTTTAAATAATAATTTTTTGACAAATTTTCGTTCTTCCATAAAATTTATAGTTTTTTTCAAACTGCAGTCATAGTGTGAGGCAAATTTGAAATATTTTATTTTTGATGTTTGTTTGTGTCCTGAAAATTCCCTGTCACAGTTTACAGAAACGATATACAGGATGAACTTTTTGCTATAAACTAAACTATCAAAATGTTTCAATAACGGTCCTGGATATTCCCGATTCTGAATGAGAGTCAATTAGAGAGTAGCAGCGGAATATTCCAATGAAAAAATCAGACGAATCGAAGAATCTGTTATATTGGAAAAGAAGTGAAGAAGACGCTTTCTGATAGACATTATTCGTGGTAGGAGTATGTACAGTTCCTCATGACTCACCCTGTATAATTAATGTGTCACAGTCAGAAGTATATAAGAATGGTTTGATAAATCCCCGGGTTTTACTGTAATTGTGACAGCGTTGAGCAAATAAGACTTGCTCTGGATTCAATCAATCAATCAACTTTATTATTCCCAAGAAACAACATTTGTTTATAGCATGGAGCATGGTGAATATATAAATAATTTTTTCAAAATAAGATAAAGAAGACAGTAACATAAGACTCACACTCAAGAAGAAATCTTGTTCGTACTTCCGGGCCTAAAGTGACAACTTCACTCCCTTGTGACAGGTACTAAAGTGTCACATTTAATCCCTCCGGGATTAAATATTGACGAAACTCCCGGAACGATTAAATCACAAACAAACGAATTTAAGGGATATTTTATTGAAAAATATAATTAATTAGAATGGTAATTAACGTTGATATTCAAATTAATATTGTGACAGTTCGTCATATTGACCAGTCTTTCCTGGGTTAATGCAGCAGGTAACTGACGAGTAACAGATAGGTCCTTTTCATATTGAACTGGTGTTTGTTTCGAAGATCCTGCGGAAACAGGAAGCGAGAATGAGGACTGTGGCATAACTATAGTGGACGAATCGGCGACTTGACCAAATATTTTATCTGAAATTTTTTGTTTATTTTTAATAGACGATTCAATATATCCCTCGGCCACGTTGGAGGATTTCCATCCTCCATGTCTCTTCAGCACTTCTATTGTTGCTCCCGAATCAGCTAACAAAGACGCAGATGTGCGTCTAAAACAATGTCCCGTATAAGACGTCGCATTTTCTAATTTCAAGAAAGCTGCTATTTGCCGTGGAAATGTACCAAACATGTTTTTTCCTACTACTCGCGTAGTACATTCTTTGTTGATGTATTGAACAAAAAATTTTGAATGAGTTGTCCCTGTCTTTCGCAATGCCACATATTTCCGAAATATCGCCACAAAACTGTTTTCTGAATTTTTGATCACAAAATTTCTGTCAATTTTATTTTTGGTGTTTCTAATCGCAATTAGGAAGGAATCGCCCAAATCTCTCACATCGTCGATTTCTAAATCAACCAACTCTTTTCCACGACAAGCTCCCGCAACGCCCAAAATAAGTGCAACCTACAAAAAAATTGATTTCTTAAAATTTCTGAATATAAACAAATTTCCAAATTTACCTTAAGCATTAAATATTTATCATCCGGAGCCTCCCGTAAGAACTGATCTACCTGCTCAGACGTGAGAATTCTTGACTTCTTTGGCTTAAATCCCTCATTTCTTCTCTTCAAAAAAGCTAATAATTTTGGAAATTTACTTATATCAACATCTTCTCTAATGTTAATAACCGATTTCAGCATTGAGTAATGTGCCCAGAGAGTTGAGGCACAAACCGCTTTTGATTTATCATCGAAGTAGACTAACAGCGCATTTTCAGTAGGTTGTCTCACATTTTTTAAGCGGCACCACTTTTTAAAAGCATCGTACTGCTGCTCGTATAGTTTTCTAGATTTCGGTGGTAACAATTCTTCACCTACTTCGGCTGCTCTTTTATCAATATCAGATACACCTTCTTCACTCATGATACCAATAATTATCAATAACAATGTTTCTTTACAATGACACTAGTAATGACAATGTTTCTAAATTATAACTGTCACAACGCAATGGTAACTTATTTTAAAGACAGTTTATTAAATGAGTTGAAGAGAGAAAAAACTGATTGAAATTATTGAAATAATTAATAAAATCATACCGGAAGTACGAAAAGTATCGTATATACCTTGCGACTGAAGTACATTTAATCCTTCAGGTAAATTATGGCCCTCCCTGCGGTCGGGCCATAAACTTTACCTTCAGGATTAAATGTACTCCTTCAGTCCCGCGGTATATAATGTACTATTTTTTCAAGTTCAACTGAAAATGATTCTTAATTGACTCAGCTGTTAGGTACCCAATAGAAAACTATGATAGTAGTTGTACAAAAATACTATAAAAATGAGATAAGATGTCAATATTACAGGAGTAGATGTTTCTTGAATTCCTTTTTGAATTTTTCAATCCTCTTAATCAGCTTCAAGTTATTTGGTAGTGAATTGTATTGTATCATTCAATGGGCTTATATCACAAAAAAAATCCATTTAATAATTCGATAGGACTCACCTAAACTAGCTCACCACCGCAAACCGTTTCTTGCTGTGAGCTCCCTACGTTTTATAAAAAATTATTGAAATCCCCGATTTTTCGGACCTCTGAAAACGAGGCGATGATGTGACGTCAAAACCCTAATACTGAAACAAGACTATTCCAGGCAGAGATGAATGATACATGATTTCTGACAGAGTGAATTAGCGCGAGATCACAGTTGAAACAATTAATATATCAGTTGCCTCAGTCTCCGTCGAGCATTTGGTATGTTCTTTTAACTATGGCGAGATGATGTTTCTACGTCATTAGAGGGTCCGTTTTCAGAAGGTACTATTATTTATGGCCAAAAATAAAATATTTCCAGTTATGTTTTCGATCGAATTATGGCGTCAATCATTATTTATGTATAAAAGGATCATTATAAACATGGTTTGAGTTAAAAGTTCTACTAAGGTGTACACGCCCATTGTGATAAATGGATTTTTACCAATATCTGATTTAATTTTCTTGACAGCAAAATGATCTGCTTGTCTAGTTGTATGGTTTTGGTGATTACTATTAATTTGGAAAGCCAAATTTGAATGCTTTTGACAATATTTAACTGAGTGAATAGACGATATTAATTTGAATTTATATAGTGAATCTATATCTAATAACTCTTTTCCTCTGTGAAGGTTCATAGTAGGTTCCAAATAATTTAGTCTGTATATACATTTGATAATTTTATTTCGAAGAGTTTTGCGAGGCTTCATCATTGATAGTTTTGTTGAACCCCATACAGAAATCAAATATTCAAGTTTAGAATAGATCAACGACGAGAAGTATATAGATTTGAAACATTCTATAGGAACTTGATTATATTGAATATGAGTAATTGTACAAGATAACTGTGATATCGTTTATTATTTCAATGAAAGGAATGATACACGTTTTAGATAATACAGGACGGACACTCACAAATTGCTGTTCTTCTTTGCCAAAACCTTTTCGATTACGAACCTCCTCAGTTCCTCATATGCCGTATCGAAGTCATCGTTGACGATGATGACGTCGAAATTAGCCGGAATCGTGCCGTATTCGATTTCTTCTTCTGCTTTGTCTAACCGCCGTTGCAAGCTTTCTTCCGATTCTGTTTTCCTGTTCACCAATCTTCTTCTCAGTTCTTCCATGGAAGGCGGTTTGACAAACACGCTCCAAGGGCGCAGATCAGTGTTTTTGATTTGTTTCACTCCTTGCACGTCTATGTCCAAGATGCACACCTTGCCTGTAAAAGACATCGAGGTTATATTCCGATTTTGACAGTTTCAATAGTATCATAACTAGAATGTATAGAATATCATTTGACAGTAAGAAAATACGTTCCAGTCTTCCTAATTTTTATCCACCAAGATATAGAAGGTGAACGTACATTGTATACATTTACGGCGATAGAATGACAAGAGGGACCTATAACGGAACCTTGGGGCACCCCAAAAATTATTCGCGTTCTTCACGACTATTATGAAAAATGGCGGCCTATTTACGATGCTAGAATGACAATTCGCGACTATAGGGTGATCTTACCCTGTTGACTAATGTGTTGGACTGCCGCCTTACTGGTACCGTACATGTTGCCGGTGAATACTGCATTTTCCAAAAAAAGGCCCTCGTCTATGGCCTTCCTCATACTATCCGGATCGGTGAAGTGATAGTGGACGCCATCTTGTTCGCCCGGTCTGGGTTTTCTCGTCGTGTGGCTGACGGAAAATCCGAATTTGTCGGGAAATTCTTCGAGCATTCGCTTCACTAGCGTGCTTTTTCCAGAGCCTGACGGTCCGCACATTAGGAGTGGTCTTACGGCGGAAGACATCGTGGAAAACCCTAGAATGGAAAATGATTACTGAGAAATGTGGAAAACTCCACAAACGATCAGGTTTCCATCAAATTCCTAACTCCTGACATTTTTTGCTATTGCAATAATTACACACAGTATCTTCTTCAAGTGAAATGCTCGTACAATAAACCAACCTAACATTGATTTGCCTAATTTATACAGGGTGGGGCATAAGTGCGTCGGGGCTTGATTGCTCGAGTTCTATGATAGCTAGAAACTCTATTCAAAAACGAATGTGAATGAGACAACAAGGTCCATAGCTAGAAATTATTGCCGCATATACAGGGGGCACCGGAAAAAATCTAGAGGGGCAGGATCACTTTTTTTAAATGGAATGCCCTGTATATTAGCATATTTTTTGAAGCATCTCTATGACCTCTAAGAACTCCTATAACATTGTTGACTATATCTCGATCATTTCAAAGTTATACATTTTTTTGTCGAAATAATGTCTCCGCAAATGCATACCGAAAAAATCACTGTAGTCACAATTATAAAATTCAAGAGAGAATACTCATAATATCATTTGATGGAAAGATGCGTGATATTTCTGAAGAATTTCCATGCCCTCAAATTATACAGGGTGGCTAAAAATGATTTTTCAATTCAGAACTTTTGGAAGTGATTTTTCTCGAGTTTTTCAAATGAAAACCCCCGTAGATTTTAAGGCCATTTGGTGTAAAATCGAAACACGAACATCTTTATTCGTAACCATTTTTGAATTATTGAACCTCGAAAATTATAGGTTGGCCATTTTCATCGATACACATTCTCATCAGTTATTGAAACATCAAAAGTCCAATTAATAATTAAGTTAACTTGTTTTTTCATTGAAAGAATTGATACCAGAATCAAAGCAAACAGAAATAGTTCATATGATATACACAATTTTCATCTCCATATAATATAACTATTATATTGATTGGGTGAAAGTATTGAAAAGGAATATTCTCAGATATATTTATGAACACAAAAAAATGGATGTATATATAAATAAATACATTGAGAATTCGCATTCTCCATGAAAATATTGATTCTTTCTCGGTTTATTCAACAGAAAACAACTACTTTCCTGGCTATATGCCACGACGAACATTGAATTGTGTATATCATGAAGAATGGCTGAAAGAATAACTGGACTTCAGGTTACTGATGAGGATATGATATCCGAAATGAGTTTTACATGCTCTCTTTTTGGATATTCAACAGATTGATATAATTCAATGTTCGACGTGGCAAGTAGCCAGGAAAGTAGTTATTTTCTGTTGAATATTCAGAATGATATAATATGCATATTATCTTTATATGAAGGAGAATGCAAATTCTCTACTTCAGAAGATTTTGTTTTCGAATTCTTATCGTGTGTTCAATAAATGTAAAGATAGATGTAATTCAATATTCGTCGTGGCATATAGCCAGGAAAGTAGTTGTTTTCTGTTGAATAAATCGAGAAAGAATTAATATTTTGCTAGTGTTTTCGGGATAAGACGAGTTGTCTTTGGCTTGTGATTGATCAGAATATATCAGACTTTTATGATGAGTGAAATAACCGCGAAAACACTATACCAAATATCCAAATAACACCGAAATAATTAAAGGGGTGTTTCTTTGTGACATTCTAGCAAATTAAGTTCATATGAACATGTGTCCTAACCTAACTTACTTCGTTTTTGAGATACAGGATGTTGAAGTTGGAGGTATTAATTGTTTTTATTTATAGGCAAGATTTTTTTATTACTTGATGTCATAATTGTTGTTTGAAGACCACCCTGTATAAAGAATAGATTGATTATGCATCATTTCAAGATTATCGACCACCGTTCGAACCAGATTGACAGGAACACAAAGCCAATAGGAATTATAGCATCAAATCATGCATTATCTTAATAAAACATTCATATTTCAGTAACGCGTATGACAATTCCTAAAATTTTTTCACAGTATCGAGAAAACATATGAAGCAATATGTTTTTGACCCCAAAAAATAAATAGAACAATTTTTCTTTCAAACGGGAGGCGTTTGAAATTTTTGGAAAAATACATAGCTTTGATTATCATCCTGTAGAATCTGATCCGGAAAAGATGAAATAGTCATATCCGTAGGTTCGATAGTCAATGAAACGAGCTTTCAGAAACTGAAAAATAATTGAAAATCGGTTGAGAAAATCGAAAGTTATGATGATTCGAATTTGTTCGAAAAAATGCGATTTTACGTTTCATGTGTTGAGCAGTTTATTCGTCATGGTCTTGGGATATTACGTACGAATATTCAAGTTGTTGAGAATTGAAATCCTGTTTTGACAAATTTCAAACGCAATTTTTTTCAAATAGGTTTGAAATTTGCCTATACGTGTTGTTACGTAATCCATGATTTTTTATTTATTTTCAATGTGAAAGATGACTCCTATTTGACCCATCTTCATTGTTTCTATGGACTTTATTATTTGCCATCCTATAAAATGAGTATGTGATGCTCTTCCATTTCGACACACTTACGAACCTGCACGCATTGATTTATTGCTCATTATGTTAGTCAGGAAAAAATCGTATATGTTTGAATAAATTCTTTCGTCAGTGCATGGTACATTGTTTATTCAATTATTATTTTTTCCAAGAACTATAGAACTGTGGCACACATTGAATCATCCTTTCTACATTGATAGTTGATAAAAGGAAAATCAGATAGGTGAATGGGTCATTGGTAACGTTTGTACAGGGTGGTCAAAATAAAACGGACATTTCCCTTACCGGAGGAGGAAAAAGTTAGTTTTTTCTGTGACGGGAAAAAAGTTTGACAGGTAATTTCTATTGACAGGATACAAAATGTCACTTTTCATATATGAGATATTTTTTAATTCATTCATATTTATTTAAAATTCCCTCATTTTCGTTTTTTTGTCATCAAAATATTGCACAGCTCCCTAGATTATTTGAAATATTCTCTCCTAGTGTCTAAAAAATAAAATATAAGTGTTATATCAATATATTTGTAGTGAAGACAAAAATCAGAAACCAAAAATGTCTCTGTGTTGGAAAAATTTTACTTTCATAAATCTGGAAGAGAAATCTTGTACTGATAATCAGTGGATTTTCATTCGATGGAGATAGAAAATGTTGAAAAATCTCAAGAAATGAACAGCTATCTTCTCGGTTAATTTTCAGAGTGTTTGAAATACTTTTCACTTGCTCTTCTTATTGTTCTCATTATCAGATAATTATCTCTGTATTAATTGCAACAAAATGACAATACGAATTACGAAATTGAATATGTATAAATGGGCTTATATCACAAAAAAAATGTATTTAATAATTCGATAGAACTCACCCAAACTAGCTTACCACCGCAAACCGTTTCTTGCTGTGAGCTCCCTACGTTTTATAAAAAAATATTCAAATCCCCGATTTTTCGGACCTCTGAAAACGAGGCGATGATGTGACGTCAAAACCCTAATACTGAAACAAGACTATTCCAGACAGAGATGAACGATACATGATTTCTGACAGAGTGAATTAGCGCGATATCACAGTTGAAAGAATTAATATATCAGTTGCCGCAGTCTCCGTCGGGCGTTTGGTATTTTCTTTTAACTATGGCGAGATGAGGTTCCTACGTCATAAGAGGGTCCGTTTTCAGAAGGTACTATTATTTATGTCCAAAAATAAAACATTCCAGTTAATTTTTCGATCGAATTATGTCGTCAATCATTATTTATGTATAAAAGGATCATTATAAACAATGGTTTGAGTTAAAAGTTCTACTAAGGTGTACACGCCCATTATATGGTGACGTTTTCGTCACTCTGGAAAAATTCTAATTCTAAATTTAAAGGCATTTGACCTTGAACCCAAAGAAAATTCGCCTGCAGCGCATTTAATAACATGGAAGTGTTTTCGCAGAGTTCTGTGTCCCTCTGGTAAACACCGATAACTTCAAAAGATTTCCATAGCAACAATAAAGATGCCTACAAAACGATGTCTGCAAAAAAATATGTCATCCATAAAGCCCATAACGGTCCATAACATATAGGGACAACGTTTAGTATTGGAGTATCGAACAATTTTTCCCCAGGGATTGTCCGTTTATACCTGGAAATCGATTCTGATACGAATTCAAGAGTAGGAGTGCGAAAAAACAAAAGAAAACTCTAGACACTCGATATCCTATGTCTTACCTTGTAAATGTCAAGACAAATCATTTTTTTCTGGTGAAAAATATCACATTTTCTCAGTTATTTCGTAGATGGAATTTCCCAGCGATCGATTACTTTCAAGTAGGATATATAGGTATAATCCTTTTAGTGGCTCTTCATAGATTTGCGTGCGATAAGCTATGAAGTTTCTGTATCAGATATTGCATGTAGTTATCAAATTAGATACCTACTTACTATAAAATTGGAGAAAGTGTATCGCAATAATACTATTAGGTAAAATTTGATGACTTGAATTCGAGCATCGAAAGAAATGATCTTTGGAACTCCTTTCCATCCTTTTAACTATGATTTTTTTTCGTTGGTTCTTGATTTATTCTATTAGCTATCCGAGTTATGCTCCATACTTTTTCTACAGCTTCAACATAATATAATATCGAAATGATTTAACAATAGAAATATCATGAAATTTAAATTTAATGGCATTCAAAAACTGGCATCAGAAGAATATCCCGAGTATCTATTGACATTCCGTGGAGACATGATTTATTTTATAATAATAACCACTACTGTAACACGAGGAAGTCATTGTTTTATTATGTTTTTATTTAGACATATAATCTAACTCGCTCTCATTGTTATACTATACGAACTCGGCTTCGCGTCGTTCGCCTAACTGTTTTTACGTGTGGAAAAGTAACACTTTGCGTACTTGTTAGGAAAATAACTATTTCCTACTACTATTGAAAGTGATGAATATTGTACAGGAAACAATGTCAGTGAGCTTAAAGCAAGCGATTGCGCGGTTTTCATAGGTATGTACTTTTTTTTTTTTTCTGTGACGGGACAAAAGTTTGGCATTTCATCTCTGTTGGCAGGTTATAAAATGTCACTTTTCATGAATTACTTTTTTCCCGGATATATATCACATATTATACACTGTTGATGGCTTTTGTTGTGCTATAGTTCTGAAAAATGAGTCAATAATACCGTCTCCGAGAAAGAACTGCAAGTCCTTTTATCTTCCATTCGACTTCGCGGTTACGTATATTACTAAACAACCACTGAATTTGCAATTTTTTGAATCAAATCACAGAATTAGACTGACTTAGACTGACAGAAGTGACATCAGATATTTGATTACTTCAAAAGAATGATGAAGATGCCTACAACGCAGGTGTCCCTACTGTTAAAAACTCAAAATTTCACGTCGATAATTTTCAGATTTCAAAATAATGTAATATCTTCTCAATATTGATTCGTCCTTTCTTCTGTCACAGAAAAAAATAGTGTATTATACACGAGACAAATATTAGATTTTAGCTCACGGTTTTTTGTCTCCCTCCGCTACGCGTCGGGAAACAACACAACCTGGAGTTAAAATCTACTACTTTTTTCCTTTGTATAATAAATAACTATATCAATAAATCAAGTTATCAATCGCAACTGAAAGCAGACCAGTTAAATTTTTTGAAAACGATTATTTATTTCTGTTGATATGTTTCAATCCCAGTTAAAAAATGTCAAGCGATGACGATGAGATTATTTCTACACCACCTGAAATCCTGAAAAGAGCAAAAATGGCAACAAATGAAGTGAAATGTCGTGAAAGATAAAAAATCGCTTTAAAAAAAATCCTCAGGAGTAATATAATGTCATTTTCGGAAAATATTCTGTTACTTTCAACAACTGCAGAGTGACCATAATAACTTTAAATGTTTATCGAATGTGTTTTTTGTTATTAATACGGTTGTTAAGATATGAATAACGGCTTCCTTTTAGTTGAAATTGGGGAAAAGGGTTTCGTTATGCCATCTATCCATAAACAAATACAAGAATAATCATAATTTCTACCTTTCCATGCAGTTAGCTGAAAGTGGCGGGAGACGTATTCGATATTTGTGTCGTCGTAGAAAAAGTATATTACATTGCTCGAGTTGTAAAGCAATTACGCGCTAGTGCAGTTACACACTCCACTTCGTTCGTAATATGCATTTTTTCAATAAAAAATTAATCTGTATACCTTTGGATGTTCGAGAAGTAATCATTTTTCGATCCAAAACTTGTTTTTTATTATCATTTTTATGTTAACCTCTGGTTTGATGTTTTTTTTGCACATTTGACTATCCTAATAAGATCGTGGTTCCTTTTTAATATTACCTAAAAATATGCTCCTATTCACACAAAAATTCCGTTTTTCTCAAGAACCACGTAATCAGGATGAAAACCAGTGTTGGCATGAATTAATTCATATGAATTAAATCAGTGATTTAATTCGTGAATTAATTCCATCGACTTTTTTCGAAAAAGTCATGAATTCATTCAAATTTTTAAAAATGAGACAAATTGCACTATTACCTTCGATTTTAACTAGTTTAAACTGAAAAATTCGATCGTATTTTGGCAAGACTTTGTTATTTCAAGCATGACAGAGATTTTTACTAACAGATATATACAGTATCAAGTATCATCCATTAAGTACATAACATATGAGAACAGGTTTATTATCACAGCATCGAATTGTTTTCTTTTGGCGATCCATTATGCATATCCGATAACTTGAAAATCGATTTTGACACATGTCACGTGATCACTGGTATGGTGATAAATAAAAATAATACTATAAAGCGACGAAAAGTGGGGTTAGATAACAAAATATCCATAAACATTTCTTATTAAGTTGCTATTCCACATTCAGTTTCGAGCAATTTTTGGAGGAGAATTGGAAATATCTATATTTTTTCCTATATTCTTCAATTTTGTTACAATTCTCTTTTTTTTTTTCTTACAGTAGTGATGTCGACGATGTACAAGTTGAATAGGATTCAATTTCATGCTCACATATGGAGTTTCCAGCCATTATTTGAGAAAACTGAAAATAGCTATTTTAATTTTTTTTTAAATAACTTCATCTTCCCATCTAACCCCACTTTTTGCCATCGTAATTTTTTGAATTTACCGCCATACCAGTGATCAAGTGACATGTGTCAAAATCGACTTTCAAGTATTCAGACATGCATAATAAATCCCTGAGAAAAAATGTTTCGATATTCTACTAATAAACTTTTTCTCCATGTGTTACGAACTTTATGGATGATACTGGATCTATATGTATCTATTATTTTGTATTCTATCATCACTTTTAATTTTGTTTTGAAAAAATGACATGTTATATTATGATGTTATTCTACAAGATTTTTGAAGGGAATAAAAACATAGTTTTTTGTTTCTTTTTTTCTATTTCGCTTTGGGTAAATGAAATTTGTTTTTTTTTTAAATGAATTAATTCGAAAAAGTCTGACTTAATTCAAAAAGTCGGACTTTGATGACTTTTTTATAAAAGTCATGACTTATTCCAACCCTGATGAAAACAAATGCCTTCATGAGATATATGGGTATAAAGAGGGCGTTCTAAATTGACAGCAGTGGACAAAATAGGTATCTAGTATAACTACAACATGTATTTTCTATCTTTTACTTACTGCAGCTTACTGAGTGTACGAGGATAAAATTATCAGAACTTTGATCGAATGAAAATTCAGCGGGAAAATGATATTGTGTGGTGTGTGGCGATTATATTATGTGAACAGGGTTTTCGTTCGATTGACGGTCACTTGTTTTGTGACTCATGCGCAGTTTTCATCGGAAAATGCGCGAAAAGGAGACAGGAGAGGAAAACCTCCATATACAGAGTGTCCCACTATCTCATTTGGCAGTCCAACGTATGAAAATGAATAATTGAAATAAGAGTACATGCTTTTGGGTGTATGATGAATTGACATTCATCATACAGGGCGTGGAAAGAAATTCTGAATTGAGACTCTATCACGAATCTGCGATTAGAGGTCTATAAAAATCACAAGTTTCTCTCGTTCAAGTTTGAACCCCCTGATTGGGTATGAAAGTGTTGAAAAGGAATATTCTCAGATAAATTATGAACATACAAAAATGGATAAATATTTATATAAAGCAATACATTGAGAATTCGCATTCTCTATGTAATGAGAATATCGACTCTTTTTCAGTTTATTCAATAGAAAACAACTACTTTCCTGGCTATATGCCACGACGAACATTGAATTATATCTATTGAACACACAGAATGATGTATGCATATACATATTTTTGTCTGAAGGAGAATGCAAATTCTCAATTTCAGAAGATTTTATATTTTATTTTCAAACTCTTATCGTGTGTGTTCAATAGATATAATTCAATGTTCGTCGTGGCATATAGCCAGGAAAGTAGTTGTTTTCTGTTGAATAAACCGAGAAAGAATTAATATTTTCATCACATGGAGAATGCGAATTCTCCTGATTTCATCTATGTATCACACTTGGGGTCTAGCAGGAATGAGTTCAGAGATATAGGGTGTTCAAAATCGAGATTTTTCAATTTTAGGATTTTTTTGTGTCGAGACTATTCATTATCGATCAAAACGGCTTATATGTCCCTATCTCAACTTTTGATTCACTATCTACTTGACATTCAATTGGAACAGATACACGGTGATCAGAATTCTGAATCTTGAAGAACCCTGTTTTTCTTCCAATTAAATTCCAGTAGATAGTGAATCAAAAGTTAAGATGGGGACATGTAAGCCGTTTTGATCGATAATGAATAGTTTCGACACAAAAAAAATCCCAAAATTGAAAAATCTCGATTTTGAACACCCTATATCTCTGTAATCATTCCTGCTAGACCCCAAGTGTGATGCATTGATGAAATCAGCTCTTCAGGAAGGATCTAAAAATGCAATAAAATACAGGGTGTTCCATTTGAAATAACAAAGTTGCTAGTTGTTTCTGATAGAAGTGGCAACACTGTATCGATGACAATATTTTAGACGGATAGAGAATGTTCAATTATCAAAGTATACCAATTTCCAGAATGTTCGGTCTTTTCGTTCTCCAGATACTTCTAATAGGCCATCCACCGTGGATCACCCTGTATATCCATTTTTTTTTTGTTCATAATTATATCTGAGAATATTCCTTTCCAATATAAAATCGTGTTTTTTAAGTTTATTTTTACTATTATTTATCATATTTTCTCGATCACTTTGTCACAAATTCTCGAGTTATCTTGAAATACCTATCTTTTCTGAATATTATAGTGATAACTTCCTATCAAGACATTTTTTGGTATTATTACATCATGACTTGCAGACTTACGAAGGATAAACTTGATATTGGCGCCAAAACTGTTATTTTTTTCGGTTGGTACTCCGTGTTGTACCAGCTTCCTGATTGGTTGTCGGTTCGTACGGCTATATTCTCGTCTGCTATGGCACTTTGAACTCGTTTATACTAGTGATAAATAGGTAAACTGAAAACGTGGTAGAAGCATGCGAGGTGCTGTATAATGGATCCTTTTTGTTCTGCTCATGCGCTGTGGTTTCCCGCAGTTTCAGCGATTGCATTGTTACCAACACACATTTAGCACCGCGATTGCTTGGCTAGGAAGTGGATTCGAATTTAAAGAAAAGATAGGAGCTGTAGCAGTTGGAAGTTCGTGGATTGTTGATCACTGATTATGGTTGAGTTAGGTCATGATGTGTGTGGTGTAATTTTTCGTCAGTGGAAAGAGTTGTTCATACAACGTGGATTGGAATCTGCTTAATAGGTGAATATAAAATCATTTTTCTACTCACATAACTAAAATGGCATTTAGCGTACGGATATGTACCACGCTAAATGATCGATTAATCACGGATTGTCGATCTGTTATTTATTCAAAATATTAAACACGTTACCATGGCAACACGATTTCTTAAACACATTACCATGGCAACGCAGTTCATTAAACACATCTTCGGTAATTTGAGACATGTCTGGCCTGTCAATTTTATTAACTGTCAACTGTTATTTTCGAATTTTGTATCAGAATTATTCAAACAATATTCGTTTGTATCAGAATTCTTCATTAAAAATATATGCGAAAAGTAGACGAAAGTGAAATCGAAGAGAATGTTCTGGTACTTGCATATCTCCAAGAAGTGTGAAAATGAAGCATCCATATTTAAGAACAATTTATTTATTCTGCGCTAAGCATGACTAAACGTGAAACAAAGGTTAGTAAGCAATGGACTGGACACATCTACAACCAATATCACTTATACGTGTCCCACTGGTTGCATGCAGTTGCATGTATTATGTTCTCAATTCCCATTCCTTTCAAATTGATTTGTAGGTTAGCAGGAATTGCAGGTATGTTAATGACATTTTCGGAATTCGTAGAAAAATCATAGTATGTAACGCGTTTATAAACTCTTCTAGACACTCGTTTATTAAACACTCGCTCCGCTCTGCTCCGCTCGTGCTTAAAATACTCGTTACTAAAAGGACGTTTATAACACTTGTTACATAATATACTATTATAGTCATTGTTAAGCATGGAAAGTAACAACGTACATAAAAGTACGATGAAAACGATCGAAAATCACTGAAATATGGAAGCACACAAGCTCGAAAACTTGGCAGAAATACTAGAATAAATAAAGTGAGGTAAAGACTTGGGGATCAGATTCATTTTTTATCAGAAGGAAACTCTTCCTTTTTTGTAAAAGTCCATGATAATAACGAAAATTAATGCAAATATTGAACTTCTCCTAATTCGACCCTGTCCTTTCATGTATACATGTATAAGTTTTATACCCTTCAACACACAGAGAGAATAAGCAGCTTGATACATAATACCTATCAAGAACTATTTTCATCATAACTGAGAATGTTTTTTGTCGATTCTGCATTATAATCATATACAATGTAAAATGAATGATGTAAGTTACATGATATTTTAGTGTCAAGCAAAATATACCAGTTACAACAGAAAACCCACTATGCAGGGCTGGCTCAATTGAAATTTCACCCAATTATTTCGCAGTTATCGAGAAAGTTTTACCAAAAAAAAAATCGATCACAGCATACGATATGTTCCCCCTGTATATAGATAATACTAACTAGCGTTTCACTTAATTAGTTCGAAAATTAAGGCAGTAAAGATAATGTCGTCAAACGACATGTAATCAACTAATTATAGAGAATAACTTGCTTCAATTTTACGTTGCAGTTAAGTACCTATATTTGAAGTCGATGTGAATATAGAAATCGTAATAGTAGATATACCTGCAATCTTTATTCTCAGTCGGTTGGGGATAATTCAGAAAAATATCACAACAAACTAAAACAAAAATTCTTCACAATATTCGTGAAATGTGGAATAGTTGAAAATTATATTTATTTATAAATACCTACTAGATTCGAGTGTCATTCCTGCGAATCTCGCATCAGTATAGCTTAAAAGTGTATATTTCAAAAATTATTTTCCGACTAAAAATCTACTCATCGATAGCTACTAGCTAGTCGCTCATGGATGGCATATAAAACGAGGAGAATCGCGGAGAACGAAGCGACGTTGCCACAGTTCGTTAAAATTGTGAGATAGCAGATAAAAGTGGAAGTTTCAGCGATCTTCGCTGGGTATTTCTTAGATCTGTGATAAATCACGTTGGCTAAGTTCTGAATTGGATCTTATCACTAATATCTAGAAGAAAATATTTCAAAAAACTCTAAACTCAGACATTAGGATCAGAAGTATTTCCTTTATCACAGTAAGATTCGAAAACTGAATTGAAAATATCAGTGTCATGAAAAATGTGCATTCAGATGGGAGAGTCCTAGAATTTCAATAGCCATGAAGTGGCGTACTAGATTTTTTTTTAAATTTTTGGGATGAAATTATAATGCTAAGGAAAAATTGAATATTCTGGGAATTTTTGTTACACCACAGCATATTGCTATTCAATACCACCATATACAGTGTGTCCCACTTACCATGCTCACCATGGGTATCTTTTTAACGATGAGAGATACGAGGTCGGTTAAATGACACCAAATGTGGAGGTCGGAGATCATGATTTTTTGTTAAAATTCATAAATTCAAGATGGCGGCTTCCAAATAATTTTTTGTTTTTGTATAAATGACGATAACTCCGTTGTTATCAACACAAAACTATTACTGCGACATATCATCTGTAAGAGAAAAAAAGTTATTTGTAACTAAGTCATAGTGAGCTATGACCTACATTTAAAAAACTGAAGTTTGTGCTGATATCTCAAATTCTAGAAAAGTTGGCATAAATTTCAAATTTTTTTCGAAATCACTTTGAAAAACTGCCATGAGAATGTGAAATTCCTATTTGAATATTTTCATGAATAAAGAAGTTACGAAGGAGACATGAAAATGATCAAAATCTGTTTTTTGCGTATAAAACAAAAACGAATAGATTTTATCAAAATATGTTTTCACATTATAGTTGTCCTTGACAAACTCCACATTTGGTGTCATTTAACCGAACTCGTATCTCTCACCATTAAAAAGATACCCATGGTGAGCATGGTAAGTGGGACACACTGTATATTATGACAGTTTCCCGCCATTTTCCGATTACATTGGTGTGATATATTTTTTAGCTGATAACGCCTTAACGTTTTGACACTCTTGGGACTCCTGGTATGTATTAATTCCCGGCTATTTGCTTTAGAAGCATAGACGGTTATTTTATCTCTCCTTAGAATTTGACGCCTTCTTTGCATTCTCATTCGCTCTTTCTTTCTCTTTATCTCTCTCTAACCTCGCCCCAACACCGGAACAGAAACACAGATAACGTTCTAATCAAACACACAAAGTGTAAATAAAGATCCGTTTTTTTCTGGTTTGTATTCGGTACCTGGGAAATATCTAGATCTAAGGAATTATGGTTCACATGGTTGAATCGAAAACAACATCCACAATGAAAGAATTATTTTCAAAGAATTCATTTCGAATCAAATGATATCAATGGTCAATTGAAAACAGGAACCGAAACGTCAAAATATTTGGCATTTGACATTTGGAGGGCAATAATTATTATTGAATCAGAAACAGAAAAAAATATTTTTTCTGTGACGGGAAAAAAGTTTGGCATTTCATCTCTGTTGGCAGGTTATAAAATGTCACTTTTCATAAATTATTTTTTTCCCGTGGGAAAAAAGTGAGTGCTTTTTTCTTTCCCGGATATATATCACATATATATATATACACTGTTGATGGCTTTTGTTGTGCTATAGGTCCGAAAAATGAGTCGATAATACCGTCTCCGAGAAAGAACTGCAAGTCCTTTTATCTTCCATTCGACTTCGCGGTTACGTATATTACTAAACAACCATTAAATTCGAAATTTTTGGAAATCAAACCACAGAATTAGACTGACAGAAGTAACATCAGATATTTGATTACTTCAAAAGAATGATGAAGGTGCCTACAACGCAGGTATCCCTACTGTTAAAAACTTAAAATTTCACGTCGATAATTTTCATATTTCAAAATAATTTAATATCTTCTCAATATTGATTCGTGCTTTCTTCTGTCACAGAATAAAATATTGTATTATACACGGGAAAAATATTAGATTTTAGCTCACGGTTTTTTGTTTCCCTCCGCTACGCGTCGGGAGACAACACAACCTGGAGCTAAAATCAACTACTTTTTTCCCTTGTATAATAAATAACTATAATTTACATATTTCACCTATCATATCCTCACAAATTCAGATCTGAGAGACATTCACTTTTTAGCAACCATCAAACTTTATTTCCTATCTCCTCATGTTTATGAACTGTAGCAACGTTGCTTCGTTGCCCACGATTCTCCTTTTTTATATGTCTTCCATGAGGGGAGTTTTTAGTGAGTGGAAAATTGGGGCTTGGGCCAAATATCATGTTGCTATATTTTTTTCCAATTTTGCCTCTTTAGGCTTTAAATTTAAATTTGTTGTGGTCGATTTCGTGTGATAATGGAGTGAAAAAACGTTGATATACCATGGACGAAAAAGACGATTGCACTGCACTGTTTTTGATAATTTATTCAGGTGGCTGCCATAAACATTTCTCATTTGCAATATTAATCCTTTTGTTTCATCGTGTTTACGATTCGACTTTATGAGTTAGGTACACGTTTTTTACTTTGCAAATATAAACTTTGGACTATATCGTGAAGATTAGAATGATTGATCGATTTTTCAAAATGGAATTTCTGCTTATGTGGGTGTCAATTTGGACAGGACTTCAGCTTCAGATGAACAACACATAACGGTACTTAAAAAATAGAAAATCTTCACACTACCGATAGGCTTCTCAATAAAGTATCAATATGAATATTCAAAAAGCTGACATTTGATGGGAAATCTGAAAAACATCTGGTTTGACTAGATCTATTCTGAGAATATTGAAACTAGTCTAGCTATTTTCAAAAAGATAATCTATTGTTTTTTATGGAATTAAAGTATTATTTTTGACCATATTAACTATTTTTGAAGGCTCCAACATTTTTATTTTTATTTTTTTCAGAATTTATATACATTTGAAGGAACGTAAATATGAACGTTAAAAAACCCAATATTTCATAGATGTTAAATTTTAGATCAATTGGACTGAATTGGAGAAAACTTTGAAAGGCAAATTATGAGTGAACACACCTAGAGTTCGTTTATTTTTTTCGTATACATTCTATGAATTATCAAAATCCGGGATGTTGTCATCTATATTTCCAGAAATTTTACCTATATTTGCATTGAGATAAGAGTGCAATATCCATAATGACGCTTCAATTTCAACACCACGTTGTTCCAAAAACTAAAGTAATATACAGTGTACCCGTGAAAATGAATTCAATCATTAACTACTATACAGAGTGTCTCACTTTGAACACCCTGTCCCCTCTACAGGGTGTTTCAAAAAAGCCTAACAAATTCATGCGATGTGTCAGCTTTCAAAACACATCCATACAAAATTTCATTACAATGTTGCCAGTAGTTTCAACATAATCCTTAAAAATGTGTAAAAAAATGATTTTTTCAACACCTTGTATCATGGAAACGGATGCCGTTACGACATTTTTTCACTGAGCAAACCCAACTTATTTTTCAATGTTCTACCTACCCTAGCAAGGGGGTTAGGTTTTTTTGAAACATCCTGTATATCTCTGCTATTAGACTTCCGATTTTTACCAAATTGCGATATGAATAACCAGCAATATGATCAGTTTTTCGAAGAAAACCATCATTATATGCGTTTTCATTTAGATAAGAAAGGGTCGTTTTTTTATGAAATCATATTATATAGGATTTTGTTGCTGGAAAATTAACTTCATAATATTGCATCTCAAATTGTTTCACGTTCTTACCTGAATTACCTTAATGACTAAACTTTGACTACACGAACAGTAATTGAAAGCAATGACATTCATAGCAAATATTCAATATGATTATTTTTTTCTTACAGTTGCTTCTGAAGCATTGTTTGTTCGATTTCTTTAGAATTTCGGAAAAATTGCTAGAAAATACGTAATATTCAGAAGAAAAAAATGCTTTTAGAATCTGTGAACAAATAATCAGGGTCGTATTTGAGAAAAATACATTGATGATGGTTCACCACGTTGAATCTCATCGAAAGTGGTAAATCTGCACTTATCATGCGATGGTTTTTTTTTTCGAAACTTTTTTTGGTACTCACGCAATTTTGTCTGAAAAACACGAATTTGATAATGAAAATGTGAACAAACCATTATTTATCAAGATATTTCACTATAAAGTTACAAATTTCACCTTCTTTTGCGCCTGTCTTTTGGATCGCATTTAGAACAATTTACCCTTCTTTTTTCATCATTGGACAATTTATATATCACAATGGACACATTTTTTCCATTATATGATTCAACTAGAAATATGATTTTCTTGCGATTTATCCATATTTAGTGAAAAGAAGGAAGAATATCATTTAAAATAATGGCGTGTGTGATGTCATTCAAAAGCAATCTGTTGACATTTGACATCTCGTATTTGGATTGACTATTGATTAAATGGCCGTCAACTGGTATGATTGTTCACTAAATATGAAAAACTCGCCATAAAAATCATATTTCTATATGAAAATGTGTCATTGAAGTACATCATGAGTCTGTAAATGCATCCAACAGAGAGGGAAAAAGAAGAAGAAGAAGAACTTTTTCTTGAAATATCTCGATAAATAGTGGTTTCTTCACATGTTCATTATCAAATTCGTGTTTTTCATTCAACAATACGTAAGTACAAAAAAAAATTTTTCGAAAAAAAAAAAACATCGCATGATAAATGCAGTTTTACCTCGAAAGTTGCTATGGATAAGTATGTTATGTTTTTCTGAATCTCCAGTAATAACGTCGAAACAAGTATTTCCAATAATTCTCTCTTTTTGTACAGTTCTCGCAATAATCCTACAAAATTTGTAGAGAAAAAAAGTTCATGATTTTTTTCTCAGAACTTGAGTCTAAAAGAGTCAAAATTTCAACATTAGGCCAGGTATACCTTTCATCGGAATGCACTGTACATACATACAAGCTCACAAATATTTAACCTTTGTTAACACCAGCCCGTCGAATTTCCTGTGGCCCCTATATCAACGGCTGAGTCACACACAGAGTGTTTCATGAATATGCATCCGAGCGAATGGAACACAAGAAACGCCGTTTGTTGCCCTCTTGATATGGCAACCTATGCCCTCATGTAGTTAGTTAATATGTTTCTTTTTCTGTGAAACGGTGGTAAGAGCACGTGCGACATTTTGCCACCTGTGTCTAAAGAGCGTTAGAAAATATCCGAGAAACGTTTGATGGAACAGGATATACACAACATAACAAGATTTTTTTTTGGGATTTTCTCTCCTCGTCTCTATTACACAAAAAAAGTAGTAGATTGTAGCTCCAGGTTGTGTTGTCTCCCGACGCCTAGCGGAGGGAGACAAAAAACCGTGAGCTAAAATCTAATATTTTTCACGTGTATATTACACTATTTTTTTCTGTGACAGAAGAAAGGACGAATCAATATTGAGAAGATATTACATTATTTTAAAATCTGAAAATTAAATCAAATATCTAATGTCATTTCTGTCAGTCGAATAGATGATAAAAGGACTTGCAGTTCTTTCTCGGAGACGGTATTATTGACTCATTTTTCGGAACTATAGCACAACAGTGTATATATATGTTATATATATCCGGGAGAAAAGTAATTTATGAAAAGTGACATTTTATAACCTGCCAACAGAGATGAAATGCCAAACTTTTTTCCCGTCACAGAAAAAATTAAAATATGAATACTATTTCAATATACGTGTAGTTATAGAACAGATCAGATGATTTGCTCCAAAATGTCACTGCGTTTAAAGAATGTTCCTATCAGAGAGCCTAAAAGAAAAATTCACTAGCTTGTCAATGGCAATTCGTATTGAAAAAGGTTTGGAACAGAGAAATAAAGGTATGAAAAGAAAAAATATCAAATTTTACTTATCTTTGGACGTTCCGGGAACGAATCTGCTCCCGTTTTCAACATGAAAATGGATATTTGAATAGCAATTTCTTAATTTGTCTTGACACTTTTCAGTTCTCAGTGACTATTGGTGACGTTGGCAATCAAATGAGTTACAGGATGTTTTCATTAACTAATCTGGAAAGTGTCAAGACAAATTCGAATTTGCCATACAAAAAATCCATTTTTTATGTTGAAAACGGGAGCAGATTTGTTCCCGAAACGTCCAAAGATGAGTAATAAATTCGATATTTTCCGTCCAAAGTCAATACCTTCATTTCTCTTCTCCATTTTCTATACAAATTGTCACTGAAAAGCTAGTGAAATTTTTTAAGCTCTCTTCAAATTCTTTGAACGCAGTGACATTTTGGGGAAAATAATCTGATTTGTCCTTACTACATGTATATTGAAATAATATTCATATTTTTATTTGGTAAAACTGCATTCATCATACGTATTTTTGTACGAAACACGCGAATTTGCTGATGAAAATGTGAACAAACCATTATTTATTGAGATATCACACTATAAAGTTACAAATTTCACTTTCTTCTCCGCCTGTCTTGGATCGCATTTCCCCTTCTTTTTTCATCATTGGACAATTTCTATATATTACAATGTACGACACATTTTTTTCTATTAAATGAGTCAACTAGAAATATCTTGTGATTTATCCATATTTAGTGAAAAGAAAAGAAGGAAGAATATCATTTAAAATAATGGCGTGTGTAATGCATAATACGGATCATAACGGGTGCCAGGATGAAGCCAAAAATATGAAACAAATGAATATCCATAAGGATTTGGTGGCATGATACGCATGCGCCATGCGCTATTATAGTAGTCATCAAAGACATGCGTTTCGGTGGACAATGACGTTTACTAGCCTTTCAATCAAAGCAGTATGTGTCTGATCGTTTCAAAACTTTTCCTTATGGATAGTCATTTGTCTTCAAAAATCGGCTTCATGTTTCGCTATGGAAACAGATAGAGATTATCCGTATTGATTATTTCAGAAGCAATCTGTTGACATTTGACATCTCGTATTTGGATTGACTATTTATTAAATGACCGTCATCTGGTATGCTTGTTCACTAAATATGAAAAACTCGCCATAAAAATCATATTTCCCGTTGAATTTTCCATATAAAAATGTGTCATTGAAGACATCATGAGTATATAAAGTGTCCAATGACAAAATAAGAAGAGCAAGTAGCTGTAAATGCATCCAACACAACTTAAGAAAGAAGGCGAAATTTCGAACTTTTTCTTGAAATATCTCGATAAATAGTGGTTTGTTCACATTTCCATTATCGAATTCGTGTTTTTCATACAAAAATGCGTGAGTACCAAGAAAAATTTGCGGAAAAAAACCATCGCATGACGAATGCAGTTTTACCTTCTATTCTATAGGAACGAGGAGAGAAAATCGCAATAAATCTGGAATAATGAATGAAAAGTTATACCAATGACCGATAAAAATTGCAAATTTCATTGAAGTCTGCTCGGACTTGCTTGTCGAGTCATTTTTCTTCAAAATTAAAACATGGTGAGAAATATCAGATGCAACCCGATATTTCTCGACGAAACACAATACTGCGACTTCGACGTTATATAGGGACGAATAGTGCTGATTATTATGTAAATAAAAACTACAGGCATTTGATAATAACCTCTTATCGTGTGCATGAGTTTAACTTTGAGCAGGCAAACACAGTTTTGCGGTGAACGCTTGAAAATATAATATATCAAACACAGGAAACCGTTACATACAAAACCTTTCTTTTATCGATACCATTTTTCTACAAGGTGAGTCATCAACGGTCTTCTAGAAGCACTAAAACGTAAGACAGTTCGTTCGGGACGAAATCATGATTGATTCAAAATGAGATACTTTGACGAACTGAATTTCAGATTAATAGACATAAATGAAACAAGAACTGATTTATTATAGATAAATATCGACATATTATCAAAAACTTCACGAAAATCACAGAAATTACATATCTACTTGATAGCTGATATATAGAGGAGGGTCCGTTCAAAGTGAGACACGCTTTATACAGTGCTTCTCAAAAGTCCCATCCCTTCACATATTCAAAAACTTGGACAATGGGGTTGTGCACACTTGAGTTCCTAAATGTACTTGACAATGCTGTTTTGACGTGTTTTGTATATTAGAGTACGGAGAATCCCAAATTATTTTGTGGCACGGGCAACAGCGTAATGCCTAAGTTCCCAGAAATACAAAAAAAAAGAAAAAGACAAACTACATTTTCAACCTAACTTCCTGACGTTAATATCGGCTGTCACCTTCATCGTCAAATCCTTCTTTCATCTAGTCAAGATGGAAAAGATAATCCTCATATTATCTGATTCTACAGTTGTGTTGTTCCTCTGTTATGTGCAGTAATTATTCAATCCAGAACAATCATTCCATATTCTGATTGAAATGACAATCAGAAATATTCTATTTGTCTATTAGAAATAGAGAATTGATACTTGAGTCGAATCTTATATGGTGTTCTCGGATAATTACGTCAAGCGTTTTCCCGCGTTTCTCATGATATGAAATATCATGAATTTCAATGGGTATTTATTTGTACTTGGAAATAATGAAATAAAATTGTTCACTGAATCAGGTCCATTACAAAAACGTCGAATTAGTGAGACTAACAAAAACGTCATATTATATGATAACTATCCAGAGGCGGAGCTTGAATTTTGAATTTTAGTATTAATTGATTTAATCATCACAGCTTTGGGTTTTTTCAAGCGAGTTGCCAAAAATGCCATAAACACAAACAAAATTAATGTCATTACATGTTTTTGTTTTTTCGATACCTTTTGATTCACAACCTTTAATATTCAGTTTCCAAATTTCACTTGTTTATGTATAATCGTTCCAAAGATAAGAGGGGGGAAGGCAACGAGTACATAAAATTCCAGGACGAGCCATAAAAAAATATTTTTTGTTCGCAGAATCGACAAGATGGCGTCCATTCGAATGGTTCGTGGAATTGGAACTCACAGGACCCTGAACCTACTGCTAACAACCATGAAGATACTATATCCGATCTGAAAAACCGGATATCATTGCTGGAAAACGAGAAGAACGATATTTTGGGTCAGCTCGAACAGCTCGACAATGAGAACCAAGAAAATCTATCTAAAGTAGTGGCTATGAAGGAAAAACTTCAAGATGAACTCAATGATCTGAAAGAAGACTATGAGAAACTGAAGCTGCAAAACAAAAACTTAGTTATCAAAGAAGGAAAGCTCAAGAACGAGTATAAAGAGTTGAAAGAAAGACACACCGAAGGCAGTGACCATCGAAATGATGAATACAAGGAGAAATGCAAAGTCTTTGCAGAAGAAAACCAAAAACTCAAAACCGAGCTGGAAGAAATGAAAAAACAACTTGAAGTACTGAATAGTTCCAATGAAACAGTACAAAAAGCCTTTGAAGAATTCAAGGTGGCAACAGAAAAAGAAATGTCAGAGAACAAGAATAACATAAAAAGTATTGAAAGTGAGAACAAAGTACTCGCGTCTCATCTACAAAACGCAACGGAAACACTCCATATTTTCGAGAAAAAGAGCTCAGAAGACGAAGACAACTGTCAAAAATTAGCCGTTATCTTGGAAACCTACGAAAAACAAGTGAGCGCCCTGAAAGAAGAATTAGAGAGATGCAAAACCCAAAGCCAATGTAGCAAAGTGGACGAAACAGAAAGCCAACTCAAATTAGTATCAGCAGAATTAGAAGCACTCAAATCGCAAAGAATCACTGCTAGTGAAGAAACCAAGAGCTTGCAAGATTTAGAAAATACCCTGCAAGCTTTCAGAATGGAAAACAGTGATCTGAGAGCTCAGAACGAAGAATTGCAAGGACAAATCAATGGTAGAATGGACATAGATCTAGAAGAAGAGCTGGAACATATAAAAGCAGAACACGTGGCTCAACTGAACCTCTTGGAGCAAGAAATGGAACAATTGAGAAGTAACGAAGCTAAAAACGCAGCAGATGAGAAACAGATCCAAGAGTTGAACGATTGCATGAAAACGCTCAAAATAGAAATCAGCGACTTGGAAGAACAGAACAAAGAACTAGCAGCGACCCACGAAAAAGTCATGATACAGCTGCACGACCAATACGTGAGTATCATAACGGAGAATATTAAAAAAATCCAGGACTGCGAGAAACCTTCAGATTTCCAACAGTGCTTCCATGAGGATGACCATCAAGTCGCTGACTTCAGCAAACAAGTAGAAAACATAATAAAAATTCTGCTGGACTTGAAATGTAAATGCCGAACTCTGGAAAACAAAGTCATTAACCTGTCTGAAGAGAAAAACAATATCCTCACCGACAAAAACCACGAAATTGAGAAGCTGATGCACAACTCTGAGATTCTGAGTCAGGAAGTTTTGAGAAAAACTCAAGCTATTAAAGAGTATGAAAAAGAAATCAGCGACTTAGCTTCCAATAACGACCTCTTGATCACTGATCTCGAAGCTTACAAAAGCAACTCAGTGTTACAAACAATATCAGAATCGAATGAAGACAACATGGTGCTTTTAGAAAGTCAACTAGAAAACGCTAACAGAAGAATAGAAGATCTAAATAAAATCATCGATAATTATGATAAAGAAAAACTGAATGACAACAGCTTGCAGGGTGATGAAATTGATAGTCCTGTACAACAGTTGAAAGCAACAGAAGATGAAACTTCGGAGAAAGCAGCAGACTACCAATATCTTCTCAATTCCTTTGACCTTCTCCAAATTGAACACAACGCCCTCAAAAGTGACTTGGAAGCTTCCAGGGATTATCTTCAAGTCATCAACCACGAAAAATCAGAACTCGAGTCATCCTTAGAAAAAGTAAGAACTGATTATGATAACCTTGAGTATCAAATCAGCGAGTTGAACGTAAGTAATGATGGCCTGAAGGAAGAAATATCAGAATACAAAATTGAAATGGAAAATTTGCTGAAAGAAAACTCTAAGATGATGTTCCTAAGTGAAGAATATAAAGAAAGTAATGATGAACTGAGGAGTAGGTTGAATTTTCTGGAGAGAAAGCTAGCAGAAGGGGACAAGGAAATATCAGAGCTGGAATTGCAAGTGAGAACGCTGACTGAGAAGCTTCAGATATCCAAAATGGCGGAAACAAGTTTGAAACTACACTGTGAACAGAAAAGCAAAGAAGTTACTGTACTTTCGGAAGCAAAACACAACCTGGAATTATCTTTGAATCAAACCAATGCTGATCTTGTGCAGTTCCAAAATAATTTCGCGGAACTACTGTGCAAAAATGATAAGTTAGATAAAGATTTGGAAGAGTTGAAAGAAGCTGATAAGGTGAAACAAGAACAGATAAGAGATTTAGAAGAACTAGTGAAAAGTTTGAATGTAAAACTCGAAGAATACGAAAACCAGGAGCAGATGAAAGAACCAAGAGCTGATGACCAAACTAAAAACTTGATGGTACATGAAGAATCATCAGAGAAGACGAATAGGTCTCTGCTTGCTGATGGAGTTGAGATGGAAAAAAATAAAGAAGATAATATGAAGCAGAACATAGAGAAGGTTACAGAATACAACTCGAAGACAGAATTGGAAGCACAGCTTGGCGAAACTTTGAACAAATACAGTATGTTGCAACAACAATTTCAAGAAATAACAAACTCCCGGAACGAACTCATAGCTTTGGTCACCACTAAGCACCAAGAGAGCATAGCATACCACAACGAAATACAGAGGCTCAATCAAATCCTTACAACAGAAAATGAAAAACACCGAAACTTAGATACCCAATTCCACCAGCTCCAAACTAAGATGGCTGAAGACTTGGATAGCATGAAACAAGAGATGGAAAAGCTGACCGATCAGAACAGCTTCCTGAAGCAAAAATGCGAAGTATTGGCAAAAAACCTGCTGGAAGAACAGTCCAAAGTGCAACAGTTCGCTTCAGATAAGTCGGATAAAGAAGTCGCCTTGCAGAAGAAACTGGACAGGCTGCAGAGCCATCTGGTGGAGCTGGAAGACCACCATACCCAAGAACTATACCAGGCTGAGCAGAAGAACGCGGCGCTGCAAGCGAGAGTGACAGATGTGGAAGAGAGAGAGAAGAACTCGAGCACGATCTATACGTCTGTCAGCATCAGGGCCAATCAGCAGGTGGAGTCGCTGCAGAAGCAGCTACAGGGCGTTGTGAATGAGAGGGACGCGCTGAGGAGGCAGATTTCCGAGGCGGAGGATCAGAATAGCAGACAGGCGGCTTCGCTGGCGAATTTGGAGTTCGTTTTGGAACAGTTTAGAAGAGGTTTGTTCACAAGGAAGTTTCAGGATATACAATGTCTTTCAGAAAGTTGGTATGATATTGAAAAAACTGAATTTTGACATGTCAAAAGTTACATTTTTCAAATTGAAAATAGTCTTATATGTTTGAATTTCAAAAAACTTTACAGAAAAGTTGTTTCTATCCGGATCTTTAACATGTATCTCAAATTTGAACGTTCCATTGAAACTTCTGGATTTTTATATTTTATATTTTCTACGAAATTTCTATAATATTTAAAAAAATGTAACTGACAAATGAACATACATCATTGTATACAGAAAAAAATCTCATAGTAGTGTCATTTGAAAAAAAAAGTTGACAGTCGATGACGTTACAGTTGAAATTCAAAAAAATAGAGCATATTAGTCATAGTCAGTCATTTCATGTGGTTTTTTGTTTTTGAGAATTGGATAATCAATAGCGGGACGTTTTTGTCATTCAGCCTGTATATTGGTCAGACAGGTAGAACTTTTTACTATCGCATTCACGAACATCACATAAGTTTTTTAAACAAGAAAACAAATTCAACGTATGATATTCATTATACTTGAGAAATGTCATAATTTTGATGACAATTCCGAAATTTTACATGAAATAAAGAAATGAAACCTCTGGAAACATTAGAGGTCAAACGCAAAAATACTAACATTTTACTTGATATTAGCTAGCTCGAGGTTGATTCATGATAAGGGTGATTGACTAAGGATATCACGACTTTCACAGTTATCAACTCTTCGATAGAATATATTATGGAAAGTATAAGTTTTCGAATTCAGGTTATTCCTTATTCCTATTAAAAAAATCACATGGTCTGTATATGAAATGGTAAAATCAATGGAAATACATACTGTCTGTGATAAAAACGAGTAGAGAAAATCCCAAAAAAATTGGAATAATGAAGGGATATACACTTTTTCTGGAAAAAATGAACATCTCATTCAAGTCCCGTTTTCCAAATTTCGAATATCTTTTGTGCTTTTCAAGTTATCAGCTTTCAAAGCCGTGAAAGACTATGGCTTGCATTCCACTTGAAAAAGCTACTGTGTTAAGATGTCTATGTTGATAACGACTTTTTTCCAGACGAATATTTCATTTAAAAAAGCTACTGTGTTAAAATAATATCTTTGTTGCTTTGTTGATACGACTTCTTTTCAGACAAAGAAAAGGATGTCCAAATAGAAACCGAACGAATTCGTCGACAGATAGCTGTCGAGAAACAGATCCAGGAGGATCTGAAAAGGGAGATCTCCAGCTTGAAGCTGCAGCTGGAGGAGAGCAACCAAGGCTTGCAGGCAGCCTCTAGGCTATCCGACCAATTGGAGAACTCCAAGAAAACAGTTTCGACGCTGAAAGACGAAGGTAAAAGTAGATCGAGTTCGTTTTTGATAGCAAGTAGGTTTTGAAAATTATATCAACGAAGTCTTGAATAGTTGCAGTTTCATATTAAAAATGGTTGTCCGTGAAATATCAGCTGGTAATTCTGGGTGGTTCTGTTCCCGGAATATCAGTTGATATTGTCATGAACTGCTGTATCGACTTCGCATTATTAACAGCATTTCTCATTTTTTTTTCTAACATTGTTCCTTCTGTGATATTAATTTGGTAGAATTTAATTTATATGACTGGTTGTCCACATTGCTTTATCACAGGATATCTAGCTAACAGAAATGCTCTAAAACTATACCAATTGATGTTGTACACCCTAGTCGAATTTACGCCACATACCTATTTTATATTGATAATTCCGTGTATATATAGTATTTGATGCAATTATTCGTTATTTAAAATCATCGCATTTTTTTTACAATGATGAAATTCGGCGACTTCGAAAAACGCCAGGTTCGATGACGTCATGAACCGAATTCTGGCTTCCGATATAATGGAGATTTCATCTAATCGCAAATTATTTTGTGGCACGGCAACAGTGTAATGCCTACGTTATCAGAAATCCAAAAAAAGAGGAAGAAGACAAACTACATTGTGGACCTAACTTCCTGGCGTTAATATCGGCTGTCACCTTCATCGTCGAATCTTTGTTTCATCTTGTCAAGATGCGAATATTCAAAGTTAATCCTCATAATCTGATTCTTCAGTTGTGTGTTGTGTTCCCTGTTATCTGCAATAAGTATTGAATCCAGAAAATAAAATTTTTCACTGAAACAGGCCCTTAGCGCCACTTCTTTCTGAGAGATAAAACTGTGAATGAGTTGAAGAGGAAGCAGAGAGGAAAAACTTAGTTATTATCATGTAGGGTGCTATTAAATCAACATTACACTGCCTTTCAAAGGAAACCGGCCACTAACAATGGGAGAGAACATTGATTTTGAAGAAAATGCCTTCAATTAGATTGTATAAACCTTGGTTTAAGCATATAGTTGAGGGTTTGGCCAAATTTTGGCACTGCTTATTGAACCTACAACCTACTTGATGAGTAACCAAGTCCGATTGAAAGTTGTTAAGTTGGTCTATATTGGTGACATTTACTATACTGAAAAAGATCAAATTAAAAATCATCAACATGATATTTCGTCGATCCATGAAATCGTAGGGTAAACAAATATTATGTTTCTTGTTTTGTAGTATAACAAAACATCTTGTCAAAATGACAATGCATTGGTGTTTTCAGTTGGGAGCTGATTTAAATTGGATATTGGACCCAATTTTAAAGATGTTTTCAAATCATCGGTTGATTTTTTATATCAATGATGAGGTTGATATTCGCATTCAGATTTTTGTTTGAACGTATACAGGTGGCCGTTTTTTTTTTCGTAGTAAGGAGTCACCAATGGGCCTGTTTCACTGAAAAATTTTATTTCATTATTTGAAAGTACTAACCCTATCTAGTTCACTGTCGCAAACCGTTTTTTCCCCAGAGCTCTGTACATTTTTTAAATAATTATTGAAATACACGATATTTCGTACCATGAAAAACGCGGGAAAGTGCGTGACGTAGGCAGCCGGTGAACAATTCATATAAGATTCGACATACATATCTATTCTCTCTCTCTTAGACAAGTGCAAAAACATTTCTGATTGTCATTTATCAAAATATATGAAATGAATATTTTGGTAATGACACTAAAGTGGAGAAGAAGAATCTAACCTAACTTTTATGTTAGTCGTTTGAAAATTCAAAATGAATACGAAAGTATGTTTTGTACCGATTTGTCCAAATAGCAGTGAGAATTCGCCTGGAAAACTTTTTTTGACCGTCCCGGCTAGTACCCAACGAAGAAAAAACTGGCTAGATGCAGTACATCTAAAATTTATTTCAGGACATGACCTCTACTGTTGTGAGGATCATTTCAATGTGAGTTCCCATTGTGAAATGTGATATCCTTGTCATTTTTTGATATTTCAGCTTGAAGACGATGCAGCTAATTGGATGTTTTTCAAAATCATTGGAAAAACACTCAAGCTGAAACCCCATGTAGTGCCACACAAGTTTTTGAATGAACCACCACCCACAAACAATAGAAGTGTAGTGACTGATGAGGAAAAAAAAAGGAAAGCAGAGTTGCTGGAGAATTTTTTAAAGAAACCAAAAATACAGCCATCAGATTACTCAGAACCCTCATCATCCAAAAATGTGGAAAATTCATCTGTTCCTGACATCATTGAGGTTGAAGAAGAAATAGTCAAAGTATGTCTCAATAAGACATCCATTGGTATTCAGACAAATATAAAAGGGCCATTCAGAAGTAAAGGTGTAAATACTGAGAATAAAACTTTTCATGATGTAGGTACTCAACCAATGCATCATATCAAGTTGAGGGAGAAGAATGTGATCAAACCTTGCTGTGTGAAACCTCCATTCTCAAGTTCTGATACAATATCTGAGTCTCTCTCTTCTCCTACAAGGGAATATGAGCTGAACAGTTCAACTGATTTTGATGAGATTGCTGAGGAGATTGCAGACAGACATAAAGAAGCCAGTCGTAAAAAAACTGAAATTTATGCAATAGAACATAATTCAAGATTTTTTTTGGGAATCCCAGGTCATATATATAAAATAGTACATCTTATTTGTGAAGAGGGAAGCATTTCTTATGAAGAGTGTCTAATAACTTTGAAAAAAATAAGACTCAATGACCAATATCAAAGATTAGCTATTGATTTTGGAGTTAGTATAAGCAATATCCAAAGAATTTTCACCAAAACTGTACCAAAGATGGCAAATGTATTGCAGAATTTTGTATTTTGGCCTGACACAATAGACATTGAAAAAAATATACCAATTACATTTAGAGCTAGGTACAGTAATGTTCAGAGCATAATAGACTGTTTTGAAGTTGAAATTGAGAAGCCATCAGATCCAGTTATACAGGCAAATACCTGGTCTGAATATAAAAGCTGCAATACAGTAAAATTCCTTTTATCTTGTACTCCAAATGGATTCATCAATTTCATATCTAAAGCATATGGAGGAAGGATATCTGATACAGAGATAGTAAAAAAATCTACTTATTTGAATGAGTTACCTACGAATGTATCTGTTTTGGCTGATAGAGGCTTTAAACATATTGCCACACTAATACAAGAAAAAGGTTGTGAGTTAGTTAGGCCACCAAGTGTATCATCACAAATCAAATCTACACCACAAGAAGTTCGAGACAGCAAAATAATAGCATCTTTGAGAATTCATGTTGAAAGAGTTATTAGAAGAATACGTGAATTTTCAATACTTGAACCACATTCTTGTGTTCACCACAGTTTAGTGTCACTATTATCATTTCTTGTTATCATAGTATGTGCTCTTGTTAATATGCAGGAATCTATAATAAATTGAATTTCAGAGATTCAGGCTGTTATACAGGATGAGTCATTTTTTGTAGCAGGATTTAACAGCTTGAAGAACACATGTTTTCAATATTGAATATTCAGAATGATGTGTGTATATATATATTTTTGTCTGAAGGAGAATGCAAATTCTCAATTTCAGAAATTTTTATATTTTATTTTCAAACTCTTATCGTATGTGTTCAATAGATATAATTCAATGTTCGTCGTGGCATCTAGCCAGGAAAGTAGTTGTTTTCTATTGAATTAACTGAAAAAGAGTAAATATTCTCATCACATAGAGAATGTGAATTCTCAATGTATTGCTTTATATAAATATATATCCATTTTTGTATGTTCATAATTTATCTGAGAATATTCCTTTTCAACATTATGGGAGCTTTTTTTTCCAATATACAGCCAGTCGAAGTTTGTGATTTTCTGAATGTTTTTCAAGTTTTCTCCTCCAATTAATTGGAATTTGGTACACCTATTACATACTGTCTATGTTGATCAAGAAGATCGTATATTCATTATCCCAGATTTTTTGGGAATGAATGAATTTTTCTTTCAAGCTCTCTGAAAGTAAAACTCCAAGAAGCAGTGACATTTTGGGGCAAATCATCTGATTATAACTTATTATTATATGAACACATCCTATTTGACATATATCTCAATGATTTACTACAAGACCTGGAATGATCCAAAGCTTTTATAAGATGTGTTAATGAAACTTAGTGGCAAAACTTGAAGAATACAAAAAATATATAGTATATACTCAGAATTATCACATATCTGAAAAAAGAGCTCCTAGGCATATGTTTTCATGAATATACTTTCCTCTTAAACTTCTGTTGAAGTTTTGCTACAAAAAACTGACTCACTCTGTATTACCTGAATGAAAGTTTATTGTAACATTGTCAGTGACCTTGGAATGAAAGAATGTTTGGGATGAACTGAAACACTGATATATTCATTTCAACTAACTTTTATTATAAATATTGGCTGTATGTCAATGGATGAGGTAAAATATTCACGAGAATATTAATTTCTCTAGATTTTTTGTATTTTTCCTCTTCATTTCTGTCAATAAAATATATTCTTTTTTCTTCAAACATTTTTTGACACATCATTTGAATTTCTCTCTCAGGTTTCTGAATTAGTGACATTTTTTAGAGGTAGTGAACTTTTGTGACAAATCATCAGATTCCTCCTTACTAAACATACAGGGTGTAAATTTGAAAACTTTCAATTCCAATATCTCGCAAAATGAAAAAGTTAGAAAAACGCCATTTGGCACAAAGGCACATTTTCGGCAAATGAATTGTATTTTTTTTTATCGCTTGGGGCGCACGAAAGGGAATCCCTATAATGTTCAAAGAACATCGTGCGTTCCTAGGGAGGATAGGGAAAGGAGATAGGTATTGGAATTTTTTTGTTGAAAGCCATAGTATAATCGATTTTCAAATTGCATTCTAACATTGTGGAACACATCTCTTGGAATAGATCTGCATTCTGCAATAATTCATTGTCGAAGACAAGAATGGAATTTAAAATCGATTGTACCTACTATTGTTCAG